ATGTTGTCTGGGGGTTTGGCTAAAGGAGAGTGGGACGGTGGGCGGTGCTCGGGGTGGTGACTGAAGGCGGTGACTGTGTAGTTCTGACGTCAACTTTTTACGGAAGTCACAACTGTTCGTGAAAAATCACAGCTACTTTATGCAGGCTGTGTGCATTTACTGTGGACTGACTGTTTTGAAATTATATGGTAGTTAAATAGCCCCTAGACCTCAGTTATCGTGACAAAAGTCAGGAAATTTCAGTTTTGACAATATGGGACCTTTAATGATTTACAGTTTGGGGAGCTGTTAATGTCTTGATATGATGAGCATGGTCATATTGTCAGTGTGTTTAAACCGCTTACCAGTTTAGAAACACACAGCAGTGACTGAAGAACGCATGAGAGTAGTAGGGCGGAGACTGCATACTAGCACGAGTCATGTAACTGTGTAAAGGGTCACCCGGTTACACGTGAGCATGGGAGATACTGAAGGAAATTTAACAGGGAACAACATCAACCTGATGAACTGAGCTGGAAAATGGCGACATGTGAGGGAAGTGAAGCGCGTGCGGCGCTCGAGCGCTCAGTGCTCAACCGGGTTCCGCCGTTACTCACGGATCTGTACCAGTTCACCATGGCGTACGCGTACTGGCGCGCGGGCAGACACAACGAGCCGGCCGTGTTCGAACTTTTTTTCCGCGATAACCCGTTCGGCGGAGGCTTTTCGCTCATTGCGGGTCTCAGCGACTGTTTGCTGTTCCTGCAGAATTTCGCTTTCTCAGATGACGGTGAGTGTGTGTGTGTACTGCATACTTGTGACATAACTTTTGTACGGATCTCAAATCCTAGTATGCTGCACAAGCGCACAGCACTTCTGGGAATGTCTCTAAAAACTTAGTGAGGCCCCATATAGCATTTGTTTTGGGCATATGCTTTAAAACCTAGTATGCTGCCTAAGACGGCATTTGGTATATGTCTTAAAACTAAGTGAACTGACTACCTAAACAGCTTTTTCTGTCTAATTGTCTATTATCTATTTGTCTAATGCAGCTCAATACTTAGAATGCTGCCTAGCTAGACACCATTTTTTGGGCCCGAAATCTAGTGCCCGACAGATATTTTGGGCATGCATCTCAAAACCTAGTATGTTGTCTATGTAGACCGCTTTTGACAGCTGTCTCAAAACCTTGTGATCTGATCAAGTAGACTTTTTGGGCATGCACCACTTAATCTAATCCAAGTGAGTTTATAGGGACCCAAGCAGTTTTTCTTTTTTTCATCTCAAAACCTAGTATGCTGCCTAACTGGACTCTGTCCCGTGCATTGAAGATTCTGTCTGTTTGTGTCTGTATTATTTAATAAGATCATCATTATCTTGTGTGTTTCAGATGTGGAGTATCTGCGCTCCATTCTCCCAGCAGGCACAGACGCTGCGTTCTTCTCGTATCTGAAGGAGCTGGACTGTTCGTCGGTGTCTGTGTCGGCGGTACCTGAGGGATCCGTGGTCTTCGCTCGAGTATGTGAGCGATTCAGAGGTCAGCTGTAATCTGATCTGCTGCTGCGAGAGCTTGAGTGTTGACTGTAATTCATGTTCAGGTTCCTCTGCTGGAAGTGTCTGGACCGCTGGCTGTGGTTCAGCTGCTGGAGACCAGTCTGCTCTGCCTGGTCAACTACGCCAGGTAAATGAATCCGCTATTTACAGCATTCTGTTCATCACATTCATTCATTAGTTTCTTGAATGCAATGGTGCCTTTAAAAACTGATTACATGACAGTGTCCTTCTTTAAAATCACCTGGCAACATGAACAGGGTAAAAATGAGTCTAGAAAAGTTGCATTTTTGCAAAAGGAGAAGTTTAATGTTCAAAACAAGGTTATTCGTCCAGGTCAGAAAGTCAAATTAAATAGTTTTTTTTCTTATTTTATATGAGGTCTGGAACCATGGTATTCTGATTTGTGTGATTTATCTTATTTTTTTAAGCAATAGAAATTAACAATTTTAAAACTGATCTATTTTATAACATTTAAAAATTATATATATATATAGATATATAAAAATAAGAAATTATAATTTTAGTAAACTTGAGATACTATTATAATTTTCAAGTGAAACGAAAATGAGAAATGTTGCCTTGGCAACTAGAAGTTGTAGATTAAAATTGTATATATAGAATTTCAGTTAACATTTAATTTATTTCATGTTACAAAAATGTTTTTAATTGTTGTAGATTAACTGTTTTTAATAGTTTTGTAGATTATCTATTATAACCTTGACCAGAATAAGAATTTTTGTTGTTATTATTATTATTTATTGTTGGTATTATTTGTTATTACTTTTCTTATAATAACTTTGGTAACAAGGCTGAATTCTTGAGCTTGATGATTCAACATCACACAATTCATGTAGAGAAAATTAGATGATTTAATTGTTTTTCGTCATGTCGTGGAAAGGGTCTGTTATCTACATTTTAATGTAGTTTTTACTTATTTTAGAAAATAAACTATTTTACTACAATGAATATAAATGCAACAACACTACAAGCTCTTCTTGAGTTTATTTGCCTCTTTATGATGAATTGCCTGTTGTAGTCCTCATTTGTAAGTCGCTTTGGATAAAAGCGTCTGCTAAATGAGTAAATGTAAATATACTACATCAAAAATATCAAATAGTTCTCGCTCTAAAAATGGGATTTGTGCTTGATTGTTTTAAAAAATGTATAGGACTCTGACTGCGGGATTTATAGTTTTTGTTGCATCTGTGTGCTCATGAATTCTCTCTCCTCTCAGTCTGGTGTGTAGCAACGCTGCTCGTTTCCGTTTGGCTGCAGGTCCCAGACGCAGATTAATGGAGATGGGGCTCAGAAGAGCTCAGGGTCCCGACGGAGGCTTGACCGCCTCACGATACACATACATTGGTGGTGAGTGACCCGACATTTACAACAATATCTAGAGGTGAATCTGGAACGACGAGTCCACTGAAGTCCTGCTGAATGACTGCAGAAGACTCGTGCTGACATATGTGACCCTGGAGCACAAAACCAGTCATAAGGGTTTTTCGAAAGAAAGTTTGTTAGGATAGGATAATATTTGGCTGAGATACAACTATTTGAAAATCTGGAATCTGAGGGTGCAAAAAAAATCTAAATATTGAGAAAATCATCTTTAAAGTTGTCCAAATGAAGTTCTTAGCAATGCATATTACTAATCAAAAATGAAGTTTTGATATATTTACGGTAGGAAATTTACAAAATATCTTCATGGAACATGATCTTTACTTAATATCCTAATGATTTTTGGCATAAAAGAAAAATCTATAATTTTGACCCATACAATGTATTGTTGGCTATTGCTACAAATATACCTGTGCTACTTATGACTGCTTTTGTGCTCCAGGGTC